TTGCCAACTCTTAAGCAGCTTCAGAACACATCTCAAAAGTTTAATCAGTCTGAAGACCATTGAAGTCCAACACTGGCAGGGCACCAGAACAAAAGGATACGTTCACAAAAAGGGCAGGGCGCCGGCTGCGCGGGGATTGGAGCCATCCAAAGAGCATCGGCATTGCATGCCGCCAACAGACCGGCAAAGTGCACAAACACGTGCTGCCTTTTCCAAGCCCGCGGCATGTGCAACAATGTAACAAGTTTTCCGAAGGATTCAACATATTGACTTCTCAAATGCTTCAAGTCGTAAAGTGGCCACGTTCGTTTCGGTGTGAGTCCTTTTTTGCGGCACCCTTTTGAGGTTGGATTGCAAAGGAAGCCAAGAAGAGAAACTACCCATTGATCTGGCACCCTAGTTTTGAGACGAAACCTCTGTCTGAGCCGCCTTTCACACGCCCCAGTGCAACCTGAGGCCACCGCTCCGAAAGACTTGGCGGCATCTGTTTGGCGCTTCAGCACCAGCTGCCGCTGCCTCATCATCTTCTGCCTCGGCTCCGCCGCTTCGAGGGAAACAGGGGAATGCTTGAGGGAGGCGGGAAGGAACCCAACAGGCACTGATTGCGCACGGTGGCCGGGGGCAAATCGAGCCTGCAACCTTGCCTGGCAACATGCACAAAATTGCGGCCTGCTGCGACACGCATTAGCATGGCGAGTTGGCCAACAAAACGCAGCAATTTGGCCCGAGCTAAGCATAGTTTACGTAGGACCCAGCAGCGCGATCGTGACAACCTTCCTTCGCTTCCTTGTAGCCACTTAAGAGACCGTTTGAAAAAGGCATGGGCAAGTATTTAGGGTCCTTGTAGCTTGTGGGCCATGGAAACCTGCAAAAGTGTGGTGCTGAACGCCCCAAAGCCCACCGCCATGCCCGATGCTGAGTTGTTGTTTCCATTTCAGGGCCGGAAGGGGACCCCCAAGTTTTGATTTGCAATGGAGCGATTGAAGGAACCTTTCGATGAAGCAATCCTAGAATGACCCAACCGCCTGAGACGGATTTCTGGGCGTGACGCACGCTTTGTGTGACACACTCCCGGGTTGCGCAGACACCTCCCTCTTGGTGCCCGGGCTGTACGCTCGGGCCTGGCAGGTCGGGTCCCGCCAAACATGCGCAAGTGCCAAGTGCCAAATGGGAATGACGGGTCGCCAAAAGACTCAGTTGAAATATGCGGCAGGCTTCAAAATGGAAAAACAAGCACATAAACGCTTGAGACATATTCACGCTTTATACTGTGCGCCCACTTGTGATAGGTTGACGTCCCTTGCTGACAGTCGAAGTTGGGCGGATGCACATGCTGAAAAGAGCGGCCCCGGTACCCCCAGAGAGCGGAACGTTGCTCTTTGGCCTTCCCACCCCAAAGGGACTGGATAAAAAGACAGGAATGGCCAATGTAGAATGACAACCTCTTCCCACTGCCGTTCACATTCGCTCCTCGGAAAGTGCGATGCACTTTAAAAGTGTTGAACGATGTTTGGGCGGGGAAAGGGGCACTGCTTGCATTTCATCTAGGGCTGACCTCTTGAAGACGATTTAGGGCTGAACTCCAACCAAGACTGACAGTAGAAAATGCCAAGAAGTTCAAGGGTGCGATTGTATTATACACCTGCGCAGCAAGATCTTGACCTTTCCTGGAACATGTAATAATGTAATCTCGTTTCGTGGGCCGCACCTAAACTGAACAAACCCACTGAGATTTAAAAACCAGTTTCAGGGCTGCTTCAAAACAAGGCTGCTGAATCATGATGTGTCAATGCCTTTTTTGAGCACAGGTAAGCAGTAGTACGTAGTGAGGAAGCCAAATATCAAAGGTCCTACGCTTAAAGTTGGCCTCTGCAAATCCCTGAGGGCCTCCGTCAGGCCAAGCGATTTGTCACTTTAGCGGCCAAGTCGTCGGAAAAAACCGACACGGTAGGCGGAAGTTGTTGAGCCGCAAGGACTGACGGGGCAAGTCCCATCATTTTCAGCATCTTCTGTGATTCTCTAGTCTTTATGGCATTTTTTCGAACATGACCGGCAACTCGGTGAGTGCGAGGTGCTAGACTTGTTTGCCATGGGCACAAGCGAGCTCACCAACTCAGTGGATGACAAACCAGGACTGCAAGGTGGCCCACCAAATTATAAGCCAAGCATGACACGGCAAAACTCCCTCCAAACACGTAGAGTAAAATCAGCGGAAGTTGCAGAAAACGAGCGGCTCTCCCAATTTCTGGCAAAACACCAGGACAATCTCGCAGGCCGGCGAGATTACGGCCTCGTAACTTCGCCACCGCGCCTTCCCGTGGGGTGAATGCACCATCTCCTGCCGGGAGAGTGTCACTTCAAGCATCCAGGCAATCGACGTGCCCTTTTTGAACAGAGTTTGAAGTACCACTGCGTCAGGTCCACATTCCGCTTGCTCATGGCAAAGGAGGGGACTGAAAAGCACAAACGCGAATTAGGTCGCCAAGGGCGGATTGCTTTGGATTTCAGATCGGATGCAAGTACCAGGTTGGGCAGAAGTGGAGAAGCGTCACTCAAGCGCCGCTGGTGCTTCAAGCCAGTGAGCAGTGCTTGGTTCTTTTCCACCTAGCCTTAGGAACAACTTTCAAGCGTAAGATGAGACAAGACCTGGCACCCCCAATGCCGGGTTCTCCCGCCCGGCCTACCATCGCCATGGCGATGGTGCAGACAGGTCCCCGCTGATAGACTACCAGCCAAACGCGTCAGGGTCCGTTGACCGGAGACCGAAACAAGGGTTTAGAATACTACAGGCCCCGTGTCCGCAAGAGTGTTGAAGAAGAGGGTGACAGAAGGAACCTTTGTTGTCGGGGATGCACCGAACCAAACAACAACTTATTCTACAGAATGCCAGTGAACAAGTGGGACCCGACTTCCTGACAGACGTAAGCCCGTACGGCACATCCCGTGGGTCCAATGTCCTTCTTCTCCTCCCTCTTTGCCCGGCTGAATCTCTAGGTACCCCGTTTTGCCTCCCCTGATTCCCAGTGTGGGCATGGGACCTTGCTTCTTCTCGTGTGTCCTAAAACAAAACATTCTCAACAAACAAAAGGACGCCCTTAGCATTTGATGGGAACCGGGTTTCCACAAATTGCAATCGCCGAGGGAAACTAGCAAACAAGACAGGCAAACTTCCTAATATCTCAGCCCGGTTAGGTGGCCCCCAACATCACTTGATGTTTATGGGCCGAACATCTCTCACAAGATTGTTACCGACCGAGGCGTGCCCCAGCGACACAAGCCCTTGACCTCGCCCAATTGTGCGATCTGGGGCGCTTTTGTGGTTGCCAAGGCATCCTTCGAATGCAGGGCCATCTTGGCCCACAACCACAACCTAGCCTGGCCCACATTTCGGTCCGGGTCAGAAGACCTGCTGGTTTTCACCCACAGGCTCAAATAAACGCGCAACATGGCCCACACCTGTGCCGAACGGTTGTGAAGCCTCCTGCCAATCCAGCTAATTATAGCTCAAGCCAACAACGCAACAAGGTATGTTCGCAATCAAAAGCTGGGGCTATCTTCTTTAAAATGCATGTTTAGACTTTGTTTGACAGGGAACCGCCCCATTGCAGGGATTCCCCCCTTGGAGGCACACTCGGCTGAGGTGTTGTCAGAGGCTGAGGCAACACAGTCGGGCAAACGTTAGTGGAGGGCTTTGCCCACGAAGCCATGAATTCTTCACAAGCTAGCGCGGTCCTCCTTCCAAATGGAGATGTACCTTACAAACTGCTAGTTTTGCGAGGTGTGGCACCTGCACTCCCAACTCAAACATGCACAAGGAGTAAAATCTTGTCCTTGTCCAAATTGACATAACAAGTCCTTCAGCCCCACCCGAAAATACAACAGCATGGAACTACAAAGTCGACAACGGGACTCACCGCTGCCGCTCCCCTCACTCCTTGTGTTGGGGTTCTGTTTCCCAGTCATGCCCATATTCTAACTACTGCTGTCGACTGCTTACAACAGTGAGATGCCATGGGTGGTAGCAATCAAGGGGTGGCAGCACGAGCAGCAAGACGCCTCACAGCGTGTCACCCCGTGTCACCTACGCGGCACCCCGTGTCACCTGCGTGTCGCCCCGTGTCGACCCTGTGTCACCCCGTGCCACCTGCATGTCGCCCCCGTGTCGTCCCCGTGTCAGCATGCTTGAATCATTGAACAACAGCAAATTGCTGCGAACAACTGTAGCTTTAGCGTGTCAGCCCGTGTCACCTGCGTGTCACCTGCGTGTCACCTGCGTGTCACCTGCGTGTCACCTGCGTGTCACCTGCGTGTCACCTGCGTGTCACCCCGTGTCGCGTGCGTCGCCTGCGTGTCACCCCGTGTCACCTGAGTGTCACTTGCGTGTCACCCCGTGGGCTTGGGAAGGGGTAGGGATACAAAAGATAAGTTTATTATTCTACTGTTTGGGAAAGAACGTCAAACGACCGTAGATCTGGGATCTACTGTCTTTTATTTTGTTTGCGGAACTACTGCGAAATAGACGGTAGCAACGAAAACATGAAAGCATAGTCGGAGGGTGCTGGCCTGGTTTGAATTCAATAAGGGCCCCTTCGGTGGACATCAATGTAGGGATTCAACAACCTTTCAGGGTCCAACTCTTAAAATGTAAAACTCCTTCAACCACAACCTTTCAGGGGCCAACTCTTAAATTCACAGCCATTGATTGTTTGGTCAGTGTGCAGGGGAACGTCCAAAAAAAGGCAAAAAAGGGGCACCACTGGAGACATCACGTCCCGAGGCGCTCTGCGAGCGCCCAACTGCTGGCTGCCAGTGCACGGCCGCCAGCGGCCGCCTCAGACATGGCCTGCGAATGGATCGAAGCGGCCGAGTGAGAGCCAAAGAGCGAACTAACAAATGCGATGTCAAGGCGAGCAGCTCAAAAATCGGCCTGGATTCGTGCAGTTCCTCTGCTTCAGGGCCCAGAAGTCAAAGCCTTCCCAAAGTGAAACTCAACTTGCAAGTGCTGCTTAGTTTCTGTCGTGGCCTCAGGCGGCCGATTTTCAACGAGGATGCTCACTGGTTCTCACACTCCCACACAAACATTCATGATGGGTGCTGCTGAGGAAACGTGAGGCCGCAATTTAATCTGCCCAGGGAATGGACGCCCAAAACGTTCACCCGAATGCCGACACGGGCACGCCTATGGAAATCCGCTTTGTGGATTCCCCATGCCTATTGCATCACTTTACAGGAAGTTTCCTGTACCACTCAACCAAGCCCGCAACCTTCTGCATGGGTTCTTAGATCGGCAGATTCCTCTGTGAGCCAGACTAGCTCGAAAGGTGGGCTTTCCGGGTATGCTCTGAAGGCCTGTGCTTTTTGACTTCAAGGGAAAGCCATCAGGTAAACGACCCGCCTCCTCAAAGAGCTGCTGTAGTTCCACAAGGTCGACCTGCGCGGTCGGAAGTAGCTCAGCCGAACCTTGCGGAAGAAGCTATGGGCCTTTTTGGCACCCAGAAGTATCACGCTGAACCAAGCAGGGGCTTAGCTTCCCAAAGGAAAACCAGCAAAATTGGCATGTCCAATTCCCCCTAAAGCAATGAGTGATTTTGGAAGCAACCCCAGTTTTGTTGGAGGTCTCTCCAGTGGGAAGGGCTTGCTATGCGTTTTCTATGCCCAAGCTTTGGCCCGATTGGTGAGCTAGCGAAAATCAGTCAGAAGACTGGGACACCCTCATGGCGCCCCTTCGTGAGCCTCTGGTCACTGGAAGCCGCAGCTCCCTCCGTGCTCGAGTGAAGGCACCACCGGGGAGTATCACAGATGCACAAACATCAGGTGCGAGAAGGACGTGATCCGCTGGAGGCGGGATCCTCTTCGCTTCGCTCGCGATCTCCATCTCCCCCGTGCTCCTGCTTGAGGTCCCAAATGACTCTCACTTCAGCAGAGGTTCGTGCCACAACCAACACGGACAGGTGCGGTTTGGCTGAAGCACTGGCAGCTCAAAGCACAAAGTTTCTCCTGCCAAAGAGCTTGGAGGCGGACTCTCCTTTGAACGTCAAGTGGACAGACTGGCTTGCTTATCACACAAGTGGAAGCTGTTCGTGTCCATGGCTCCATATGGGCAGGAACTGTCTGCTTTACGAACTCTGGCCGGGGTGACGAGAAGGCTGGTGTTCCACTTTTAGTCTTGCATTTGGCTCGGATCATCCATTTGTGCACTTTCAGCCGTGAATTGTTGAAGGGCCCCTACTCTGAGCGCCCGTCAAGTTCGGCATCGAGCCACCATCGCATGACCTGCAAGGGATTGCTTGCGGATTAACGTCTCACTGGACTTGGCACTGGTTTCTTCTTTGGAGAGTTGGGCGTTCATTTCGCACTCCATGACTCTGGAAAATTGGATGAGCATGTTCATTTGGCTGAAATGCCCTGCTACTTGGCTATATACAAGTAAGGTCCGGCAGGGCCGGGGGGCGGAAGTTTCAAAAATATAAAAACTATAGTTCCCTTTCTCTTTCTTTTCTTGACTCTTTTTCTCTTCTTCTTCCTTTTCATTGTTTCCTTTTTCCCCGTCATTCTTCCTTTCTTCCTTTCTTTCCTTCTTTCCTCCCTTCTTTCCTTCTTTCTATCTGTCTTTTCTTTTCTTTCTTTCTTTCGTTTGCTTGTTTTTGCGCTGTTCTCTCTTTTGTCTCTTCTTTGTCTATCTATTTGTCTGTCTATCTATTTTTCTCTACCTATGTATCTATCTCTCGTGCTATCTATCTATCTGCTTATCTATCTATCTACAGCACCTTGCGAAAGTGCTGCGCCTGCCACGAAATCGATACTTGACCTTGCGAAAGTGCTGCGCCTGCCACGAAATCGATACTTGACCTTGCGAAAGTGCTGCGCCTGCCACGCAATTCAAACCTTGCGAAACCTTCGCGCGGCCGTGCCAATGGGCCCGTCTCCGTGACCCGTTCCGAGACCGTTCCGAGACCGCCTCCGTACAGGCGTCGCAGCCGAGGTGGTTTGCGCACATCCGGAAGCCCAATTCACGCACAGCGCCAACGTTTTCTGCATCTTGCCATCCCCCAGCTCGCAGAGAGTGCTTGCGAAAGTGCTGCGCCTGCCACGAAATCGATACTTGACCTTGCGAAAGTGCTGCGCCTGCCACGAAATCTATACTTGACCTTGCGAAAGTGCTGCGCCTGCCACGCAATTCAAACCTTGCGAAACCTTCGCGCGGCCGTGCCAATGGGCCCGTCTCCGAACCCGTTCCGAGACCGTTCCGAGACCGTTCCGAGACCGTACAGGCGTCGCAGCCGAGGTGGTTTGCGCACTGTCCGGAAGCCCAATTCACGCACAGCGCCAACGTTTTCTGCATCTTGCCATCCCCCAGCTCGCAGAGAGTGCTTGCGAAAGTGCTGCGCCTGCCACGAAAAAAGCTATCTATGTGTTAAGCTGGCTATATGTCAAAGCTATCTATCTGTCATGCAAGCCTATTGGAAAGCTATCTATCTGTCAAGCTAACTATATGTCAAAGCTATCTATCTGTCACGCAAGCCTATTGGAAAGCTATCTATCTGTCAAGCTAGCTATATGTCAAAGCTATCTATTTGTCATGCTAGCTACCTGTCATAGCTATATGTCAAAGCAGCTAGCTCATTTAGTTCCAGTACTACGGAAGTTTCTTGTTAAACTTCCTTTGACTACCCGTTCAAGTGACTGGCCGAAGAACCTTGCCGATGGGTCTCTCGCTCTGCGGGCTCTTCTGCCTGGCAGACCTCAAGCGCCTTCTCAACATTCAGGACGCGCCGATCCGGCAGATCTCTGCTAGGCACAGGTTCGCTGCACCTCTTTGCCGATGGTTCTGTTTGCAACATGCGGGCCCATTGCTGTCCCAGGCTTTGTGGGTGGTAGCGAATGCTTCATCCCAAAGTTCGTGAGCTTTCCCTTTCATCATCACGTCTCGAGGTGAGCTGGATGCACGAGCTAAGCCCTCAGGCAGGCTATTCTCTGCCGCCGGCCTTCGCTGTGCAGGTGTTGCGGTGGCTCATTCTCAGGAGGACCCCAGTTTGGACCCATATCCAGTCAGCCTTCATACGCTGACGGTCGGGCTCGTTCTGTCCCAGGCTCAGATGCGGATGGAGCCTTGAGCCCGTCACCGCACAAATTGAACGGCCAACGTTTGCCTGTGGGGGATCGGTTGGGCGTAGTTTCCGGTTTTCGTCATTTTTGCTCTCACCGATTTGCAGCTGAGCCCGGTTCATGCGGCACTCGCATTTGGCGGCCGTCCCATCCGGAAGGCGTACGACATGGAGCATCCTTTCAGCGAGCTGCGCCGTGCGCTCGCTGCGTTGAAGCCGTCTGCCATGTGTGCTTGTTCTGCCCGCTGGCAGGATGTCATCTACGCAACAAAATGCTGCTTCTCAACTCAAAGGCAACATGTTCTAATTTAATAACAAGGATTTAACCATAGGTTTGCTGCATAGGTTCGCGGCTGAAGGAATTATCTCTTTAACGCTTGATGTTGAAGAACCACGCTGCAAACTCTTGGAGAAGGCGGTGGCTCGCTCACGACGTTTTGCCTGGCCCTGGGTCAACGAGCTTTCCAGGGGCAGAGGGGCAAGCGGCCACCACCCAGGCCATTCTCCCCGTTTTAGGGGTTTGGGCCTGCAAATCTGTTTTTTAGGGCTTGAGCCTGCAAACTGGGTTTGTCTCAAAATAGGGGGGCAAACCTAAAAAAACGGGTACTAATTCAACACAAACATTCCCCGTGTCATTTTTTGATAGTTCCCTTTTCTGTGGCGCAAACAGGACCAACGACAAAGCATCCATTCAAAAAAAGAAGAACAAAAAACGCGCCTCCACGTCAGCGCGCAGGTGGGCCAGGCGCACCAGAGACACTGCCCAGGCGCGGAAGTCACCAGGGATCCGGCCTCAGCCGCTCAGTTTTACACGTTGGACCGCCTTTTTGAGCGAAAACAACCCGATGGTACGAGGAATCCACCCAAACCACAAGGACGACTTTAAGAAATATCAGAACGGTCTTCTGGATTGCTGTAGAATCCCTTTGGCTTTGAACGGGCAAGTCTCGCGACAGCTTGGCTTCTCCCGGTCGCTGCCCGAACCATGTCCCCGCCCTTTTGGGTGAAAGGCCCAGAATCCAGAATTGTTTTCATGCCCCGAAGCGGGAACTATGAGAGATTGGCAAACCTGGGTGGAACACCTCATTGGGAGGAAATGTAAGGGGCAAACACAAAAAAGGCTTGGATTGGGAAGCCAAAAGAAGGCAACAAGCGCAGTCAAGAGCAATTGTCGCCCCAATCAAACTTGATCAAGCTTTGCTGTTTCCTTTTCCCTGCATTGTTCACCGGGGGCCCCATGCATCACCAGCACATACCCAAACGTTGTTCTCAGCGTTAGAGCCATATTTGGTGTGTAAGCAGGCAGAGAACAGGCGCGACTGATCAAAAAGTAACAATAAGCAAACACGCAAACACGCAAGCAACGCACGCAACAAGCCAGCCAAGCAAAGCAAAGCAAAGCAAACCAAAGCAAAACAAGCGAAAATAACAATCAACCAAACAAATCAACAATCTAATCCAATAATAAACATGCAAACAGGCAAACAAACAAACAAGCAAGCAAGCAAGCAAACCAAGCAACCAAGCAATTCAGCAACCAAGCAACCAAGCAACCGAGCAACCGAGCAACCGAGCAACCGAGCAACCAAGCAACCAGGCAAGCAAGCAAGCAAGCAAGCAAGCAAGCAAGCAAGCAACCAAGCAAGCAAGCAACCAAGCAACCAAGCAACCAAGCAATCAACCAACAAACCAACAAACACACCAAAACACAAACACACACACACACACACAAAAAAACACTGACAACCAAGCCAAGCAAGCAAACAAACAATCAAGTAAACGCACAAAAACACGAGCAAGCAAACAACCAACCAAACCAACAGAGGGAAGCAAGCGGGCAAACAAGCAAGCAAGCAAGCAAGCAAGCAAGCAAGCAAGCAAGCAAGCAAGCAAGCAAGCAAGCAAGCAAGCAAGCAAGCAAGCAAACACACACACACACAATCAAACAAACGAACGAACAAACAAACAAACAAACAGACAACAAGCAGGCAAGCAAGCAAGCAAGCAAGCAAGCAAACGAACAGACAAACAGACAAACAGACAAACAGACAAAGACACATAATCAAACAAACAAACAAACAAACAAACAAACAAACACACACACACAAACAAGCAAGCAAGCAAGCAAGCAAACAAACAAACACACAAACAATAACAAACTGGGCGGTTCAAAATGGAGGCTTGGCCAATCCTAATTCATAATCCTTACAGGGAGGCCAAAACTAAAGGGTCCCGTGGTGCAACCGAAGGTAAGGATTGAGGATTACCTTTGAACAGCCAGCCCAGACAAACCAATCAACCAAGCAACCAAGAATGCAAGCAACGAAGCAAGCGAGCAACAACAAACCAAAGACTGCAAAAACGAAGAAACAAAGACACAAACAAAACGACCACGTGCTGCCCAACCGACAAGACAGCTGTCCAAATCAGAGGCACGCATCGCCTCGCGGAGGGACAGCACGCCCTCCTCGGAACCGTGAAGATCCCACATTGGGTAGGTCGTGGTGGTGCTGAAAGGATTACGCAATTGCAATAGATTGTCATGGTCATTGTTGCTGGGTGGTGGTCATTGTGGTACTCAATGGTGATAAATGTGGTACTAAGCTACTCGATGGTGGTCATTGTGGTAGTGGTGGTCACGGTGGTTGCTAGTTGCTGGTCATGATATTCGCAGCCTTCGTGTGCTGCGCAGGGCTGTTAAACATAATCTCTGGTGGCAACCCACTACAATTGAACCCCTTTCGCAACACAAGGTAAGGATTACGCATTGCCCTTCAAACCAAGACAACTACCCAATAACCAACCGGTCTACGAGGTGAGACATCCGGGTAGCTCGGTCCAAAGTGAAGGCGTGACACTCCCATGTGAAGCCTTCCCAGAAGTAATTTGGAGGACCCCTCATGCAACTAGCTACATTTGGGTGTGCGTTTTGAAGGGTGCTCCTGTTTTGGCGGCAACGGGAAACCAACAGGAAGATCACCATTTTAGGGGGTCCCCAAAAAAAGACAGACCCATCTCAAACATCTGCAACTAACGGCAAGGCGTACGGGAACCACAAGCGCCCATAGGTCGCACAACTTCCGGGCTGAAAGCGACATTTGAGCATGTCAAAAGAATAAGGGGACCACAAGATGTCCTTTTTCAGGCTGTCCCCTTTAATTTTGGCACAAAGGGGCCAAAGGAGTGTCAAAGCTTGCCTGATTCGGGAGCAATCAGCTGCCTTCTGGCCAACTGAGGCCACGTCTCTTCAAACGCGCCCTGCGTCTCTTGGCGGTCCACCCACGTCAAAGCCCATATGAATTAACTGTCCAACAACACAATGGGTAAAATGGCAAGGAGCTTGTTTCCACAAGCAAGGCCTCAGGTTGCAATCACTGCCCATCTTCCCACCAGTGGTAGAAAAAGAACACCATTTATTGGGTGTCCACTTTTTGGCGGGAAACCTATCAAATATGAACAAGTGGGTGTGCTGCCCCTTGGGCCCACGCTGCCGCAGCAACTCCGACAAACAATATCAGATGACCAGCGCCACCGCAGTCGTAACTAACAAAGCTCTTCAATTCGGATCGGCCATCAAATGAGCGGCACTATAAGTTTCAATTCTCGGTGTTCGTTAGGCAACACCGCATCAAAGTTCTTTCAGACGCCTTGGCACCCTTGAAGAAAGGCTGGTAACAAAGAAAGGCACCAAAAAGGGCAAAGATCAGCCGAATATGGAGTCCTACACACCGCCTTGTCTACAGTCTCCTGTTGGGGGACCCCTTCTTTGGGTTCTCACGTTAAAAATGCCGGAAAGTACACCCCCTTCCTCAGCTTTGCCAGGGCACCGCCTTCGGCCCTTTGCCCGGCTTGGCGCACCTAGTGCGAAGGGCGTCATTTCGTAGTCGGAAGAAGAGGAATCGCCTGCTGGTGGACCCCTTCTTTGAGTTTCATGTTCATTTGCAAGGCACTCATGCTGCCGTCCCGTCAACCCCGATTGCCAAGCTGCAGCACGCTCAGGATGTCCTGAAAGCTCTCCTGGGACATCTTGCCACAAGTGCAAGGAATTGTGGATTGGGCGCGTACTAGAAGTGCAGCGGGCCTTTGCTTGGGGCGGTATGCCAACCCCCTTCCAGAATTACGACGCATTACTTAGGCGATCTTGGGTACTTAAGCCGCGGGGTGCTTCATGTACTTTCTAGTGCTAGATTTTTTGCTTGAGAAAAGACAAACCAAAAGTTGGCATCGTTTGCTAGAAGAGCCGTGCCTGGTTCACCAGACTGCTTTATACATGCCTTTTTCGCAGGCGACCGTGACCCGGCCTCCCCCTAAAGATTCTCGGACGAACCACAACAAGCGGCAAAGTTTGCTGGGCGGGGTGACGAGGGGCTTCCTTTTGGAAGCACGCCCTTGTTGAAACCGGGGGAGAAAAATGAACTCAGAAAACAGCAATTGTTGAGACGCCTCACGCCGTACGCAGACATGGCAAAGGGTGCGGATTTATTTTGGGATTTTTTTTCGTTTTGTTTTGGGATTTTTTTTCGTTTTTCGTCCGGGCCAGCAAAATGTCGTATTTTACAGCATTTTCTCGTGAAATTGACGCATTTTACACTAGCTCGTCAACATCCCCAGCATCGTTTTCAACATCCCCCGCATGTCCGACCAACATCCCTAGCATCACCAACAAATCGTGGGTAACAAAATCCAAAAATGTAGCTGGCGTCAAAACAATGATGCTTCAAACAGGAGGGCATTTCAATCCCAGCAAAAAAAACAAAAAAACAATTAAGAAAAACAGAGCGGGGTAGTGATGATTCGAACAGGGGTGATTAAATCTCTGCAAAAAGTCTAAAAAGTAGCGGGGGGGTTGGAAGAATTGATGATTCAACTAGGGGTGCAATTAATTAAATCTCTGTAGAAAATCTAAACGTAGCGGGGGGGTTGGGGGGGGGCGGCAGCCCCCCCATGAGGTCGGAAGAAGTGGTGATTCAAGTAGGGGTGCAATGATTCAAGAAAGGGTGTGATAGAATTTACAAGGCAGCGGGAGGGTTGGCGGGGGTGGCTTCCCCTATGATGTTCGAAGAAATGCATACATACAGACATACACGGACTACACAGATTACCTAAAATGTCGTATTTTGCAGCATTTTCTCGTGAAATTGGATGCTCGGAAAAGTGATGATTCAAACAGGGGTGCAATTCAACCTCTGCCGGGCCAGTAAAGTGTCGTATTTTACAGCATGTTCTCGCGAAATATACCCCGCATGTCCCACCAACATCCCTAGCATCACCCACAAATCGTGTGACGGGGTCAAAGAAATGATGATTCAAGTAGGAGGGCATGTCAATCCCAGAAGTGATGATTTGAATAGGGGTGCAATTAAATCTCTGCAAAAAGTCTAAAAAGTAGCGGGGGGGTTGGGGGGGGCGGCAGCCCCCCCCATGATGGTTCAAGAATTGATGATTCAACTAGGGGTGCAACCCCCCCATGATGTTCGAAGAATTGATGATTCAACTAGGGGTGCAACTAATTAAATCTCTGCAGAAAATCTAAAACGTAGCGGGGGGGTTGGGGGGGCGGCAGCCCCCCCCATGATGTCGGAAAAACGCCACCTGCCAAAGAGGAACTGGGAATGCAAAGGATGCGAAAAGCCAAAAAGCCACCAAAAGCCGCATAAACCAGCAAAAAGCCGAAAAGCCTAGAAGCCCAGAAGCCGAGAAGCCAAGAAGCCGAAAAGCCAAGAAGCCAAGAAGCCAAGAAGCCAAGAAGCCAAGAAGCCAAGAAGCCAAGAAGCCCAGAAGCCGAGAAGCCGAGAAGCCAAGAAGCCAAGAAGCCGAAAAGCCAAGAAGCCAAGAAGCCGAGAAGCCAAGAAGCCAAGAAGCCAAGAAGCCAAGAAGCCAAGAAGCCAAAAGCGAAAAAAAAAACAAAAAAAAAAAACGAAAAAAAAAAAAAAAAAAAAAAAAAAAAAAAAAAAAAAAAAAAAAAAAAAAAAAAAAAAACCTAAAATAAATACCCCTCCCATGGCAAAAGTCAGTGAATGGCTGTGTGGACGGAAGCACCACCAGGACACCGCCGGGTCCAAAACAGCTCCGCCGGGGCACGAGGACATCACGACAGAACCAACACCAGAAGCAGGCTCCGAGCCGCTCCCGGATGCGAGCCGGCATAATGCCGGGCACCCAACAGAGACTATGGAAAGACTGCGGCGCCAAAGTTGTGGGGCACCGGGCGTGCCGAGAAGAAGACTACGCGTACTGAGCCAAACTGGAAGGGAGACTTCCTTGCAAGCCAAAACAACACCACACATCCAGAGTTGACACAACTGCAAGTGCAAAACCGTGAGACGCAAGTGTCTCTGATTGGCGACAAAGCTTCGAAGCTAGCCTGTTCAGGAGAAGTCCTCCGACGTGATGTAGGAGTGCAAAAAAGCAGAAATCCGAAATGCGGATGCATTGGTACTAGGAGATTCTGCCTTGAAATACGGGAATGTGGCCATGCGATGTGTAGCGGATTGTCGCGAAAGCAGGTGGCAAAACACCTCGGTTTCTCCAGATTCTAATGCAAAAGGACCGTCGCATCCGCTTTTGCGTCTAGCATCTTGTCACCCAGTTCCCCTTGTAGGTACAAGGCTCAAGCAAAGCCTCTTCGACGCCAGCTTTCGGGATTGCTCACATCCTGCTATGATCAAGGCTTCTTTAGGTTCCAGTTATAGAGTGCCCATGGGGGCTCCTGAGCCTTCCAAATATTGTCGACCCTTGCATTCCTAGCCACCCCTCCAACCCCGCCGAGTTGCTTTGGCTGCTTCTGCTGCTAGCGGCTGCGCCAAGACATGCGCGGCGGGAAGCCGAGCAAAGGCCAGCAGGGCCATCCTTGGCAACAGGAATGCCGCGCAATAGGCAAATTGAAGGAATTCCCCCATTGGAAACAACTGCTAGCCCTCTCCCCCCCCCCTTGTAAGAGATGGGTATAAGGTTGCTTTACCTTCAGGTGGGTTCGCTAAAATACCGTCCAGAAACAACAGTGCACCAAAAAAAGCTGGAGAACCATTAAAAAACGGCGTGGCTCCATCAGAAAAACTCATAGTCTCATAGTGGGCCATGGACGAGGACTCTAGTCGTCTTACCCTTGGCGGGCATGCACAACTTGGCATGTACGTCCATGTCAACAACGACACGTTGTTCTGTGAATTCTGCCAAGCACATAGAGCAGTAAGAACATGTTCGCTGGGAGACCTGCTTTTTCCTCGGCGTGTTGAAAAACCACACAGCCCCCGGCCCCCACCCCCCCACAGGGAACATGTGGCACATAGCACCCCTCCCTTGGATCATATTGCCAAACCCAAAGTTGGGACCCTTTCGGATCACCGCAGGGAGTGGCCCACGAAAGGGCTTTGGGGAGTGGGACCCGGTCCTTGAGGATCCGGGGGCAGATGTTGTTTCTCAGAAGGAATCCAGGACTCAGTGCTAAATAGCCCATAATTTATGAGATTTTCCCAACCGGAACCAAAAGGGGATGTGATGTTTATTTTTTTTCAATTTGTCAAAACCCACGATTCAGCAGCACCCAGATATTCAAATCACCATTTACTGGGGCGTTGGGGCACCTCGTTCCGGATTGGGGCGCTTCCCCCAACATAGAGCATCACAAAACTCTGAAGATGAGTCTCTTGCAGGACCACTTCCAGCCTGGGCTATATCGTTATCGGCCCCTGGGCCAAAAAGGCCAACACGTCGAGTCCGAGACCTGCATACTCTCTTGCAGCAAGCTCACCAGGCGCCCCAACGACTCAACGAAAATAGGCCATGCAACCATTGGCGCACAAATAACCTGACAGGTAGCGAACAGCTACACATTCTCCTTCAGAGACAGGCTGATCAAACACTAACGCAAGAGTATAATTGATATATGACCAGTTGAATCAGGAAGTCCGCGACGAAAGCAGCATTGCAGAAATGTGTTGTGTTTCCTTCAAACGCATCCTGATTTGTGTAAAAAAACAACGGAGAAACATCACTTGTCCGCAGCTAGAGGCAACTGAGCTAGAATTTGGGTGATGAATCTGACAAGGGCTTTCAGCCTAGGACAACATAGGCGGCACAATCCAGCCTGAGCCCAGGCGTGAGCAAGGGATGGGATGCTAAGACAGGCTCGGTCCCAAGCAATTCGACATGAGCCTTCACTGGAGCATCTTGGAGATATGTCCCCTCTTGTCTGTGGAGAAGAAACTGCGAGCTCAATCCCCGGCGGAAAGCACATAGCCTTAGATTAGTGCACACCCTTCTGTTTGGCCGCCATGCAAGAAGCATGACCCATCTCCTCCTGGCGAATGAGAGCCGAGCTAAGGGGCGTGATAGTCCACATGCGCTCCGCCTCGCTCTTGTGGCGGTGCACGTCCTCCACCGAGGCCCAAACCATGCGACTGGCCTCGCGGCTTGCCCAGCGGGTTTTGAAGGAAACGGCGTAAAGGGTTTCAGTGCACAACAGTCTTGGAAAGAATCCTTCCCAGTCTGGCTTTCCGGGGGGGGGGGGATCCCTTGCCACAGCTAGCAGGACACCCATGCGCCGCCATCAGTTTCAAGCTCTTGCCTGACCAGTTCACCAGCCTGTCAGCCCCTCTGGTACCCTTGCCCTGCATAGGGTAGAACATGCTAAAGCGTATGATAACATTTGATAAGCATGCAGCTTTCCACGTGAGCCAAGACTTCCATGCTAAGCTAGCATAGAAAGCGCTTGACAACTCCCATCTCCACAAATGTCAAGACAAACAGGTTAGCCGTGGCGTGCTTTTGAAGGCTGCTGGATATCTCCAATAGCCGGTAGGTCAGGTGGCAATTTAAGGCTGGCGGCATATTGCCAGATGCAAGTGAGAAAAAACCCCTCCCCTCGACATGTCAATGCGAAACATTGGGCACAACAGTCAATCTGGCGACAATGAAGCCAAGCAACGTGCGACTCCCAATGGAGTTCTGCCTGGAATGAGTGGCCCAAGTAGAACGGGTGCATAGACTGATTTCCTGGTCATGGGTCATCTCCCCCATTGTACACTGATCTTTCCTCTGCTCCTCTGGCGCTTACTCGATGCATTTGATCCGGGCTTCGGGTCTGTTATTTTTCAGGCCTTCAGTCAGGGTAGGGCTTCACGGTGCAAAGTTGGAAAGCTTCCCTCACATTGGCAATTGAAAGAGTGACTGTTGCTGGGGGAAATCATGGCCAAGGCAGCCAACAGGCTGGAGTAGGCCCCTTGCCAGCCCCCAACATCCCGCACCTTGGTCCAAGCCATAAGATCTTGCGACTCCTGCGCCCATCGAGGCAAACCGAGTGTCAAGCGTCGAGGGTGGGTAAAGATGCGCCCTTCAAGCAGAGGGAGTCTGGGACGAGTATTCAAAGGTGATGGGAACTGACTCTGGCCGTCCTCTAGCCAAAAGTGGAACAGTGAGCGAATCCGGCTGTGTGTCAAACTTCGGCACTAAGCTGGCTAATCCGAAGTCAACATCAGGGCTTCCTTTCAAATACCGGGCCTCCTGACCGCTCAGCAGCAGGTAGCTCCACGCCTCACTCGCTTTGATGGCCATCGGATTGAGAAAAGTGTTCGGGGTTGCGCTCAACCCCCCTGAGAGGAAGCGATTTCCAACTAGAATCATCTTCAGGCTTGGGGCCACCGGCATTAGGCTTCAACTGAGCGAGATGCTCCAAGATCATGATCCTGAGTCCCCCGTTTTGCACACATTCGCATCCCAAGGATTCCCGAGCAATATTCACGCGGGAGGAAAAACACTGATACTTCATTACCTCTCATTTTCTTTCGTCCTGCGTTGTCCCTTTCCCGAGTTGACCGAGGGCATGGGCTTTCCTCCCTTCGATTGGCCGCCCGGTCTCTGAGACTGGCAGAACAGCTTGGATGCGAAACCTGCCCCCGGCCGACCTCCACTGCCCAACTCTGGACAAACCCCCCCCCCTTTGTGGTTGGCTTTGACAGGGAACCCTCCAAAACAGAACTCGGTAGTTCCCCCCCCCCCTCCAACCCCCCCCCAAAAAAAAGAGGCTCGCTCTAAAGTTTCTACAGCCAAGGCACCCATGCCTCCCGGGGATCTGAGATCACCTGTCTGGACGCCAAACCGATGGAACCCGAAAGGCGCCCTTTCCTGGCCATTTAGGTGTTTTTGCTTCAATTTTGTGTTTGGCCGTGATAAGTTGCAGCCGTCCCATTGATTTGTTGGCCATGAAGAGCTACGGCCAGATCCAGAAAGAACCTTTTTTGTTGGCCGGTTGTCTTTGTGGCAAACTTAGTTCAATGCCGAAATATGCCAAATCAAGAGTTTCCCCTCTCACGTCATGCCACGCAAGGTTTCTGAAACCACAAATGCTCCAGTGGGGACTGAGAGCCCAAACAATTCTATCAACAAACTTTGTCTAGGGCCAAAAGGCTTCGGCTCCCCTGAAGGCAAACCCCTTCTTTCCAGAGGAGCCAAAGCCTCAGGCTCTTACACAAGCACTGCCTTTTTCAAGGCTCGAACGGCTTCTGGTTGGTCCGGGGTTCCTTCGAAAATAATGATGGCTTTTCAACGGGAAGATGTGTGTTGCCAAACTACTACGGAAGATGACTTTGGGAAACTACGACTACGTCCGAACCTTGCATCAAATTGCAAAATCCCCTCAAAAATGCCAGTCAACCCCAGCAAACCTGCAGAATGCGGCCAACACCATCGAAGGTGTGCAACTGATCGAAAGTGTGCAACTGGCGATCAACTCTACTGCTCTTTGCATCTCAACCCTCAGAACCAAAAGGGCTTGGTTTTTAATCCCTGGCACCGACTTGGGCGCCAACATGCGCCAACATGCTGATTGCGCTGGTTGGGAGACAGTGTGACCTAAGCGTGTTGTTTGAAGCTTGAAAGATTACGCCCGTTTCGAGAATTCCGGCCGTGCCCGAAACTATGGCAAACATTTGCAAAAGTGTTATTTTCGCTGAAAAACAAAAACCATGTTTTCAGGTACCGGAAAGGTTGATTCCCATCACTCGGGTTTCAGATTCAGGGAATTCCTTGTGGAAAATCCCCGCCTGAGATTCCCATCAGTTCTCCTTCGCGGATTCCCCTAGCATCACGGAAAGTCCTCTAGCAACAGGGCTCCCATGTCCCCTTTTAAACCTCACCCCAAAAGGGCACTTCATTAAAATCGGCCAACAAAAGGTACCCTCCCATTGACATGGAACTTGATGTTCGGGTCCTGGTTTGGACCTGTTTCCTGCTTACTGGGACCGGGTCGGCAGGGTACTGTTTTGGGGTTTGGTCGACTTCCCAGGCCTCCAGCTGGCGCGCATCTTTGGCCAGGCGCTCCAAAAGCAACGAGTCCAGCAAACCTGCGGGCCGTGTTTCCGGGGGTGGAACTAGGGGTGGGGTGGGGGGAGGCCCCTCTACCCATCCCCTGCTGCTTTCCTTTTGGGTTACAGTAGAAGTGTGGTTGCTAACTAATTAGCACCCAGGCTGGGTCTGTTTTAGTAAGTCTAGATGCTTGCATCTACATTGTGGTTTACAGGGAGCAACCCCATGACTCTAAATTGTTGCTGAGCAAAATAAAACTAAGACAAGCCCTGAAGGTGTTTGCGTTGATGGACCCAGCGCACGATGGACATGCGGGAGAGCCGCGACATGCCTTGATTGCTGCCGTGCTCCGTGGGCGTTGCACTGGAAGCGGTATGTCCATGGATCAAATTTGGATTTGAACTGCCACCTCAATGATGTCCACCAAAGGGCCCCCTACTGAAATTCACACCCATATGAGTACAAGGATACATGTCCACGGGCTGATGCCTAGACACTCCCCTTGGTTGTGCATTTTCTTCAACAAGCCCCTGCTGATAGTGTCAAAGAGACATCCTAGACGAAACCTTGCAGTGGTTTCCCCGGTAGAAAAGTCTACTTGTTTTCGGGATGGCGACTATCAGTTGATGGGAATGGGAAGCACTGCAAAATGGGTATGCGCATTCAAGTGGTACAGGTGTGATCTTCTAAGCAAGCAGCGCTCAGCCCGCGCTCCTGCCAGACTCAGTGGTACCGACTCTTGGCAGGATGTGTGCCATGAGGACTCCGTTGGCCCGGTGCTTGGGCAAACCTCACCCCATTTCCCATGACTCGAGGATGTACTTCAACCCCTCGACCTGCTGAGGTTTCCCGCATTTTCACCCAAAACATCAGCAGCGGAAACTCGCCTTAAATGGGTTTTAAACAAAAGGTGCTGATTACCATGAAAAATACAGGTCTGTGCCTCATTTGTGCAAAAAACAGATCACCAAGAACGGTGGTTCTCCCGATGGTTTCTCCAAACAAAACCGACAGTAGCCTCAGAAAAAAAGAAGAAAACACACGGTCGCAGCCACACGAACCGTGCCTCGCAGCTCTGGCTCCTCGAGCTGCAGCTGGGCGCAGCAAAGCATCTGCCGGCCCAGCAGCCAAGCCCGGCAGGCGGTAGACGCCTGCGATGGGCGCATAATCCGGCACGGCTGAACTGGGCTTGGCGTATCCAAGAGGTTTTGGATCCATCCAGTAAAACATCCACCCCTTGTGTGTTTGACTGGAATTCTAGACAACGCTGTTCATGGGAGTCGGAGTCAGGGCTCTCGGTCAACAAGGTTTCTTGGGACCGAGCTTCCAAATATGTGGGAAGCCAAAGAAACAAAACCACTGCCATCTGGCTGGCTTGGGTTCGATGTTGAACGCAGTCACATGTATATATAATATAGCATATGAATATGTATATATATGTATATATATATATATGCTCCGCCACCCCCCCCGCCCAATGATCTACATTTTCTGCGCCATCTGCACTCATCTGTAGTATCTGCGGGCACAAACCAATTGTATGTCACAATGTAGTCAGCTCTGTCCGTGCTTGTCGCCAACATACATGCATCCTGCTTATTAAATTGGATTCAATGTCCACTGGAGATTTTTGTGGGAACTAATGTGGAAAGGAATTCATATTCAAATCAAAATTGCAAAGAACAATTCCGATTAGAATCCTTCCACATTAAATCCTGCCTGATTACTTTACAACTAAAGTCATATTTGGATAGGAATGCTTTTTGACCCAGGCTGGTTTCCTCATTCTTTCTTGTTAAATTCTGTTCAAATTCTAACTAGGTCTGAATTGTAACGTCCTGGTTGGCATAAGGAGCCTTGTAAGTTGGGGGTGAGTGTGGGAGTGAGTGTGAGTGTGAGTGAGAGTGAGAGGGAGAGTGAGTGTGGGCGTGAGCGTGAGCGTGAGTGAGAGTGAGAGTGAGAGTGAGGGCGAGGGTGAGCGTGCGGGTGAGAGAGAGTGAGAGAGTGAGAGAGTGAGTGAGTGAGTGAGTGAGTGAGTGAGTGAGTGAGTGAGTGAGTGAGTGAGTGAGTGAGTCAGTCAGTCAGTCAGTCAGTCAGTCAGTCAGTCAGTGAGTGAGTGAGTGAGTGAGTGAGGAGTGAGTGAGAGAGTGAGAGGGTGAGAGAGTGAGGGAGTGAGAGAGTGAGAGAGTGAGTGAGTGAGTGAGTGAGTGAGTGAGTGAGTGAGTGAGTGAGTGAGTGAGTGAATCTGTGTGTGTGTGTCTGTGCGTGTGGCTGTCTGTGTGTGATTGTCTGATTTTTGCGATTGTGGGTTTCTGTGTTTGTGTGTTTGCGTTTGTGTGTCCGTGTCTGTGTTGAGCGTGGCTTGTCTCCCGGTTCCATGTCGAGCATGCGGGAAAGTTAACATGTGCAATGTTGACTGCGGGTTTGCTAATTTATCTCCATCCTTCAAAAACAAGAGGCCACCGCCTCAAACCCTGGGCAGCGGATTTGGCCGGCGGCCAATGTATTCTAGCCTTTAACCAAGGCAAATGAACCAACATCCCCGGGCCCTCAAAAAGCCCCCTTCAGCGCCAAACGAAACAAGTCATGAGACCTTTTCGCGCCCAGCCCAGCAACCAAAAGCGCAAAACAAAATCGGGGGCAGCCAGGAGCGGCTCGTAGATCTGGGGAACCGAGAGCAGCTCGGCTGTATCCGAACAGCACTGCCGCGCCGTTTGTCACAGCGCTGTCCTTTCGCGCGCCCGCTCAAACCAGGCCCGCCGGCTGCTGCCACGTGGCGGGCCACCCGGGCAACCTCGCTCGCCCTCACCAGCGGCGTCTTCAGAGAAAGCACGCCGTTCTTGCGCTTGTCCTCGGCCAGCTGCAGTTTCAGCCACTCCAAGTCACCGGGGTCATGAGCACGTGACGCAGCCACTGCAGCTCAGTGAGCTCGATGAAAGCCATCCACGGTTCATCTGGCGAAATCCGCCTGAGCTCCTTGCTCGTATTCAGCTCGGTCGGCTTTGCGTGCAGCTCAACCCGGAGCTCCTGTGGCACGGTCCCCGGCGACGAGATTAAATGCTTCTTCATCTCCTCCACTGCAGAGCGCCGCACAACAGTGACGGCATAGGCCAGTCTGGTGGCATTGATTAGGGTAAATGGGTTGCATTTTCCGCTAAGCTCCAAGCGCCTGGTCACAGGTTCCGCTAGGCTTCAACAAATGCTGTCAGCTAAATCTACGAACAGCTGTACAAACCCCTAGCTCACCCCCGCTTCCATGGTGAGCCATCCATGTAACGGTGGTCACAAAAAGCAAACAACTCGACATGCGTTTGGTTTCTAGAATTTCCCTCAGTTGTGTTTTTGCTTTATAAGGCTAAATGATGCTTGCATGCATCAAAGCATGCAAAAAACCGTGTTTCTTAGCACTTCGTAAGAGTAGAATACAAGAAAACACTGTAGGCATGCATGTTTTAATATCATGGCCAATTCAATGTGGAATGCCCCCAGGGACCAGTATTCGGTCAGGGGGTTTTGTACATACGCGCTCCTGATTCTGCATCGTGCATAAAAAATTGCAGTACATCAAATGCGAGACACCAGGCAGTTTAGCCCTAAAAATGTGTATTTCTATACATACGAAATAGTTTTTCTAAACTTCAAGACATAACAGGTACAGTAGATCTTGGGGGGGTGACTATATATATATATATAGTCTATATATATATATATATATATAGTATATATATATATATATCTCTCTCTCTCTCTCTCTCCGGGTAGGGGTGCTCCGGGTGGGAATGGCTAACATGGCCCTTCGCTTCACGAGGAACTTGAAGCTCTGCCGCTGGCTGTGGCTCGCACGCTTTGAGAACGGAGGCCGTCGGAACCGGTGAGTTTCATGCCGGACCGGGCCGAGTCCCCAATACTGGGAGCGCCGCCGGCACTTCTATTCTTCAGCCTTTTTGGGCATCTCTTGGGGCTTGGTGGCAAAAACTCTTTCATCTCTTTCCTTTGCTGTTTGGTCCATTTAGCCGAACTCAGCCCAACAGAAGTGCTAAGGACAACCCTGCATACAGGCTGAGTTGCCAGGCCAGCACCCAAATGGCAACAAAATAGATTTCGAAGCCAACATGCCTGTTCGTTTGACTCTGCACAGCCTTCACTAACTTTTCTAAGACAAATCAACAAACAAGCAAACAACTTACAGTAAAACAAATGCGTCATATGTGACCAACGGCCAGGTTGGCAGAACAACCCTTCTCGAGGCAAGGGTTTTTGAAGGGGATCGCCATGTGGTGGGCCTCCCAAGGTGCGGGAGGAGAGTAATTGTCCCTTTTCGGAATGATGTTTCCTTTATTATAACAGGGGAAAGTGGCATAGGCACTTGAAAGCAAGAAGTTGAGATACCAAGGACAAGTTATGAGGACGGTAAGCCCATGAAAAGTTGCGCAGGCAATTGCCAGGAAAGCGCAGCATCCCCTACTATGTAAAAACAGTCACGACAAACCCACCTCAGGTTAGCCCTTTGCTCGACCCCCCTGTGGTGGGGTATGTAAGTAAGGCCCAATACTACCTTTCACGGCCCGCATCAGCTGATCAGTCGTTTCGGATGGAAACCCTGGTTTAATTGACATTCAGCCATTTCTATCGGGGCTGGATCACTCATAGGGGGGAGCTCAGCCAAATCCGCCGGAACTTATTTTCACCTCCAATCAACTGGGTTGCCCCGACCCCGGCACAAGGGTAATTCGAAACCTCCCCGGGGATAAACATGCAAACAAACCACTGTAAAAATATGGAGCACCCACCATGAACAAATACACACAGCATCACTAACACGGTGTGTTTCCCTTGTTATGTTGTCCATTGGCTGCCCATATGTCACTTGGCATGTTACCAAGAACTCCAAGAACACTCCGAGAGGGTTGTTTGCGCACCTCCTTCTCCAGCGCCTTCTCCATTTTTGCCATCATCGCCTCAAATGCGTCGGAGGCTCCAAGTTTCAGAGCCAGATGGAAGCCAACACCGGCGCCCAACGGAGCCCTCTGAAGGCCGAGATCAATGGACGCAGCACTGGAAGTGATCAATGAGGGCACAGATTCGGCCTTTCAAATGGCGGGCTGGTTCCTGCCTGCTCTGAAAGTAAACGGTCCACCTTACCGGGGCCATAGCGGATGCCTGCCAAAGCGGAGCAAACCACGCCCAAGTTCAAATGCCAATTCCATGCGCTCCTTGAGTCCTTTTGAGTCCTTGACGGCTGATCCGAACCGCCGGGATCCACGTGACTCCAAGTGGCTTTTGCCTTCTCGAGCTGGCCCAGCTGGCTGGCAATCAGCATGGCCACTGAGAAAGCCGCGGCCGAGGCGCCTGACTGATGGCAGCCAGGAGACTAAACTAAACAAAGAAACCAAGCAAACGAAACAACGACACAAACGAAACAAACGAAACAAACAAAACAAACGAAACGAACCAAACAAAACAAGCAAGCAAGCAAGCAAGCAAACAAACTCAACTCTACCCATCCCATCCCATCCCAGCCCATCCCATCCCATCCCATCCCAACCCGTGCAACACGCAAGCAGACAGACAGACAGACAGACAGACAGACAGACAGACAAACAGACTAACAAACTAACAAATAAATAAACAGGCAAGCAATCAAGTCAATCAAGCTAACAAACAACCACTAACAAGCAAGCAAGCAAACAAACAAACGCACAAGCACACGCAAGCCCAGACTGTGTCCGATCCTTTGTTACAGCTCGCCTTCCATACATTGCTCCAGTTGGCTGGGATCAAGGAAGCATCATCTCTAGCGGTGGCCTTTGAACACACACAGTGGTAAATCATTGGAAGCAAACAGGAAAGGGGAGATGTATCTGCGAACTTTGGGTCACAACTCCTTCACAATTCCTTGTGATCGAATAAAGTGACCTAGCGCTTTGTGCGGGTCCATGTTTTTGGTTCACATGGTTTAAAGGCCAGCCAAAAGCACCCCCCCATATCCCCCCAACCCTTGTTTGAGGGGTCCCGCTATTCTGGCACATACCCTTCCAGAAAAAAAAAAAAAAAGGAGAGGAGCCCCCAGCCAAGGTGCTGAGCTCCGCGTCCCGCTCCACCTCCCAGGCCCACTCGGCCATTTGCTGCTGAAAGGCCTCGGGGTTTCCCAGAAACGCCGAACCAGCCACAGGGGTCCCAAATCACCTGGATGATCATGCCTGGCAAATCCGGGAGCCCCCCCCAAAAAAAAACATGAGCGGAAATGATGCCCTGGCCCCCCCAAAATGGGAGATCTCACACTTTCAGATGCGGCCGATCCCCCACTCCCATCACCATAAATCCAAGGGCCACAAAGTTCAGCCCCCTTTTCCGGTCAACGGCCGCTGTTTTGATGGCCAGGCTTTTCCGTGAACCTGCAACATTGTTGCCCAAATAGGCAAAAGCCACAGAAGCGTTTACTTCAAGTAGGGAAGGGGTGATGACGCATTTTGACAGGGGCAGTTGCACAGGGCGTTGGACCGCAATAAAGAATGTGACTAGTTGCGCAGGGTACTGTGGTAAGGCACTGTCAAAGGGTGCTGCTGGAGTGTGCGCCTGAGCCTGCGCAGCGTTCTGCTTCAGGTTGCTGTTGAATTGTGCTGTTGCCAGCTGCTCTTGAACAGAGCGGCTTGGAGGTGCACAGCGAATGACTAGAAGTCATTGGAGTCGCACGAGGTACTGTTGTATGCAGGCTGCTGAATGGTGCCGCTGTTGGAGAGCGCAGCGGATATGTACATATGTTTGGAGGTGAAACTTAGCATGTGTTTCTAAATGAATCTGCGCCGGCAAGATAAATACCACTACAGGCGATGTATATGGAACTTGTTCACCGTCAGTCATTGCATTGGCACTGGGCAACGTTGTTATGCGCGTTGGAGGTATTGATTGTTTGTTGGTTGATTTGTTGCCGGGAAACGATCACTGCAGTTTCCTTTGATATCTCATTGGCTCAGTGCAAACAACTATTACATGCTGTAAGCAAAAGCGAGTTGGTACCCCCATCAGTCAGGCACTCGAAATGCTACTGTGCAGGTTGTCTTTCAATTGGCTCGTCAAATCTTGATAATCTTGTTAGCTTGTTGCCAGGAAAATGCTACGTAGTAGACACTGTGTTATCTTGCTTGTTTGGCGGTTTGACGCACTAAACAATGTTGTAAGTCTTGTCTGGGTTGGCCTTGACACAAGGATCATCATCATGCCGTTTCGCACGACTGGGAGCTGTTTCGTCTTCCAGGCCCCGTAATGGTGTGAATTCGCATAAATGGGCCCGAGTCTTTCCGGAAAGCAAAAGGGTAAACTAACGAGCTTCGGTTAACACCAAGTTCTAAGCTGAAGCCGAGCTTTGTTTGCACAACCAACCAACCAACCAACCAACCAACCAACCAACCAACCAACCAACCAACCAACCAACCAACCAAGCATCCAAGCATCCAAGCAACCAACCAATAGGCCGAATCGGGGTTCCCGCCTCGGGCATTCGCGGCAGTACTTGCGGCTCGGAGCGCTGAGCGCGGGCAGCCTCCTCACGGGAAGGGTGGCCGACCGTGCCTACAGTTTGGGTAGTTTAAAGGGAAACCAAAAGCAAAGAAACCATAAGGGGGTCCCCTGAGACAACGCCAAAGCATGGTGAACCCCGACTGGGAAAAACCGAGTGCCGGACTTTGCCCATGTGCGACTCAAACATATACAGGGACACTCAAACCAAATGGTGTCTCCCAATCAAATTGGAACAGTACAAGAAACATCAAGAAACCCTGCTTACTCTTTCAAAAGCAGACCCCCGTTACCATCCGACTTAGAATAGTAAGGCTTGCTGTTCTTAGGAGTACGGGAATCAATCCGTCCAACCGTACAAAAACGCAAAGGTGGTTGCTAAAGGGCCATTCCGAGTCATGCCCATGTCAACCAAAAGCAAGTGACTAAGGATGCTCTCTTCTGCAGTTTGCAAATGTGTGTCAAGAGGTGTACTTGTGCCCTTATTGCTTCTCAGCACCTGCCTCAGGCATCTCAGGCATTCGGGACACAACTGACTCACAGTAGCCTTCCAAAGCTTCTGGAGATCCCTGCCTTTCTACGGTCAGGCATGCCAGACAGCTAAGGGACCAGCTCCATTCGATTGCTTCTCAACCGAATTGACCCTCTGACCTACATGGCAACGCAGAAGTCCTAGGCACCGAGTAGATATCTCCATGGGTCAAAATCCCGGTTACCCCCCAGTGAACATCCCATCCAACCACTAAAATAGGTTCTAACATGGGTGGTGCACCAACCCCAAAATGGTACTCTTGGTTTTGACCCACAGCCACGTCATCTGAGGCCCTCGTTCACACTGATTCGCTGAACGCGAATCGTTGGCTCACCACGCCCAACACCCAATGTGGAGCGGCGCGTTTGCACGTGCCACGCCCATGACCGTGTGAACTCGCAACTTGCAATGGCATTGCGGCGTGAGGTGCGAACACGTGGCGAAAAGGGGTGGGCTGGGGTGGGGTGGGGTGGGGTGTGGTGGAGTGGGGTGGGGTGGGGTGGGGTGGGGTGGGGTGGGGTGGGGTGGGGTGGGGGGGGGGGGGGAGAGTGGGGTGGGGTGGGGGTGGGGTCTGCATTCCATTCAACTTCAAGGGAGCAACCAGTTGGTGTCATGACCAAAATCGCCCAACTCTGGACTTCAAAGCGGACCCATGACGCCTTGCTTGCGGAGGGGAAGTCCCAACCAGCACCCTGGCGGTCCTGCAATGCCTGCCTCCAGTCCTGGCAGCCCCAAAAGTTCAATGCGGCATTGGCAGGCAAAAGGACAAGAGAACCTCCCAGAAGGTCTCATTGCCTCCTTTTTGGATAAGAGCGCTGAATGATCATGCGCCAGCATGGCCAATTAAGGAACTTTCATCATGAGCAAGGTTGCCAAAACCAAGCATCGCCCATAAAAGGGTGGGGCAGATGTTCTAGCCGGTAAGGCGTTACCAGGTCCCCTCAAACAAACATATGCAATGCTAGATTTAGACAACATGGATTCCGACTAATCTGGGCAAATGATGGCAAGTCGCCAATGGGAAACAATCAGACCCCTTTAGAATCCGCGTCATGGGTCCGCTTTGAGCTTGATACGCTCAATTTACCCCTGATCCGTGTCGTACAATTTAGCCCGCTGATCCATTTGCTTGATTGCTCGAGATGTGGATCACCGGTTGGAAGGAATCCTAAGTAGGCCAGGTTGAATCGTCAAAAGCAGCACTTCCCACAGTGTTCACCTCGACGACTTTGTGTATCTATGTCTTCTCGTTTGCCACTGCACGTGTGCGTGTTTATCATTCGCATCTGCAGGTCTACTTGCCTTGCACTTGCTTGTCTCGTGTTGTGTCACACCCCTTACATCTATTGGAGATATCGTCCGACCATCGAACTCTTGTGTCAATAGCAAACAATGCTCGCGGTTGCAAAAGGGACAATAACACTATTTTTGTTTTGGTAACACCCTTTGATCAAGCATGCCAACTTCGCCCGCTGCCCCACAATGTCACAAGGCCCCTCGCCTCCTGGAGGTGAACCAAGCTCCTAGCCAGCAGTCCGGTCTTCGACCTAGGTGGGGTAGCTTCAGAGTTTGAGTGTCCCCTTTTTCGAGGGTACCTTTTTTGATTCTTGGCAGGTTTTGCAGGGACACCAACGGGCAACAAACCATTTTGGGGGTCCAACGGTCCAACCTTACAAAAACACACCCATTCGTTGAATCCCGGCCGGCTCGAATGGGAAGCCGCAACCTACCGGCTTCTGCGGGTTGATCAGGCGGGCTCGGCCGTTGGGCGTCACATGCTTCCTGAATGCTCCCCATATAGGCTGCAAGACTGTGCTGCAACCAGTACGCAGCGAATATGAGCTCCAGCCTTTTGCGGGGAAAGGATCCCAATCGGCAAAACAGAGCCCTTCCCTCGGTGAATCCGGGCCCCGTTCTGGCCCCAGACCTGCCTGCCGGTCTCTCCAAAACAAACAACCCAGACCGTCATGCCAGCTCCACTGAACAACAAAATTGCTCTTGTATGCTTGCAGCTTCGGCTGTTGACGTTGAATGGCAATAGTTGTAATGTTCATGGTGTTTGCCTGTCAGAGTCAAAGGGAGGGGTCCCATTCGAACGACCAGGGAACAGACTCTACACTACATCACCAACAAATAATGGAGCTTCGGGTTCCTTAACTAGGCAGCCTTGGGGACCCCGCCCCCCCCCCCCCCCGCCCCCCCTAGGGATCCCACAAAGCAATCCCCAAAACCTTCAGTGGCCTCGTTTTGCCCCGTCCTCGCCCCTAGTCCAAGCCGAAGCCGAGCAACTCGACGTGGACTGCCCCGCCAGGCACCACGCCAGCAGCTTCTTTCGCAACCGGAGCGGGCGCCACCCGCTTGTACCAAGCCATGGGCACGAAAAGCACAAACAAGCGCCAAGGAGGGGGTGGGGGGGAGGGCGGGGGGAGGGGGGAGGGGGGGGGTGGTGACCTTTCAAGGATAACTCAGAAGCAGCTCCGGGGAAAAAGCAGCTCAGTCATATGTGTTGAAGAGTGCTGGATAGCGAACGGCAAATTCATACACGCG